AATAAATAAAACTATATAAAAGCCAATAGCAATCTTTAACATTCTCCTTAAAAAAAAAAACAGTTATATGTTTTGTATAGTTGTCACAATAGTGGAATGTCCGAGTAATTTAAATACGCAAACGTTTCTTTGTTTTGATCTGAAGCGCAACCAAGTATGATTCAACGAATTCTTTTTTGCGCTGTTTCGAAATTGCAAATCGAGTTTTAACCATAAGGAAGTTACTTAATGTTCTTAATCGATATAATGCATCGAGCAAAAATTAATCATAAAGGCAAGTTCGCAATAATACTGAAATAGCAGATTTCAAAATCTGAATTGGACATGTCTCTATGAGCTTGGGTTATGATTTGTACTATATAAGGACACTGTGAAATTAAATACATATTTGTAGGTATGCGTAGTATAAATAGGCAAAATAATAAGTATGTTAGTAGTAGTGTTTATACCAATACGTAATTCGTTATGAGATCATACCTTCTAAATAAAAATTCAAGATGCCTAGCCTCGATTGCGCCGGTGCCCGGGCAAACCTTGAAAGTATTAAAATTCCAAAGAGTTCGCACTAGCTGTAGTTCTCTAGAATAGATAAATATTTTACGTTATATAAGTAGTCAGATTATGCACTGAGTCGGCTAATGCTAGCAATTCTATTTCATACAAGCCCACACATACGTGCAATTAGTATACCTGCTTACGTAGCAAAATTTTAACTCTACGAGCAGGTATATTTAATGAATAAAACAGATTTAACAAACAGATTTGTCAAGCCTTTTTGGTTAGATGTGAAAATTTAAGAATATTGAATTATTTTCGAATTATATAAAAAAGTTGATGAAACTCATCTCTTTTCAAACTAAAAACGTTAGGATATAAAACTACAAATATCAATAAAAGAATGGCGCCTAAGCTACTGTGTTTGGACGCACTATCTACCTGCCGTTATTCCGGTTCCTAATTTATTCATTCTTAGCTTCCAGAGCTAAAATACGACCTCATCTGCGTATATCCCTTTCTCTGAACGAATCTTTTATTCATGAAGCTCGCGCCATTTTATTCGAGATTTAATTTTATAGCTTTGAAAACTAATAAATCGTTTACATTGTTTACGTCTACCATGAAATAATATCATTGGATTTTTTAAAATAAATGATAGCTCTATTCTAATGAAAAAATGAGCTGTTGTTTTAAAAATTTTATTTTGTCTACAAAATAGTATGTAAATTATAAAATACAGCTAGATGCTTTACGAAGCATGAACAATTTAAGTACATTAGTGCGCGTTGTACAAATGGCAATGGGAGCTGGTAGAGGTCGGAAATGAAATCGACAGTCACTCACAGACACAATTACCTCAATAAAATCGTACGAGGGTCGGATTCGGCGCAGTCAGTTCGGAAATGGCTCTAATGACTTTCAGTCTATTCATTGTACTTCCATTATGAACTGAGCTATACGCGTTATACAGAAAGTCGTTTTAAATTAAAATCAACGGAAACTTCTTTGATCGCAGATATGAACGATTAGGACGAGAAATACTGACTAATGAAAGCAATATGATAGGCAATATAATAATAAAAAATGAAATAAAAAAAAAAAGAAATAAAAAATGAAAGCAATATAATAATGAAAGGCTTTGGTGATAAGTAACAAGATAATTATAGCCTTAACAGCCTTACAAATAAATACGGTATAAAGTTAAAATTAGCAATAAACTGATAAGCAAAGATTAGTACCTAAAAATTTTGCTTATACTCAGTTTATTTCTAAGTTTAACTTTATATCGCGTTTATTTGTAAAGCTGTAACTCGTGCTGCATTGAATCTTGTATAAGTCCAATATCAGTCAACTTTTTGATGTAAAATTTCATTTCTGTGCATTGTTTGTCCAGGGTCCAGGCTTAACGAACTGTTTTAGTATTGCAGTGCCAATTAAAAGGAATGTATATGGGAGGAGAGTTGCGCGTTTTCAGCATTAGTTAATGCTGCGATTAGAGTATCTACCGCTGAGCAGGAATTGCATTCAGACATTGTTTGCGGCGCGTGGCGTGGGCGGTAATGGCTGAACAACAAATTATTGTCTAGCTAGACGCAGGCGCTCTAAGTCTGTTGCAACTACTAGTTTTGAAATATCAGAGTTAAACACATGACTAATATTTGATCGTAGCGATTTGAGATTAGGGTGGCGATTGGTAATACAGTATTGTTCAAAAACAAGCAAACGATTCATCACAATATGGAAGTGACGAAACAGAGTTTAACTCTTTTCTAATTTCTTAGAAATATGTTAACACCCTGGACGATCCAAGATGCGCATATAAGCGGTGGTGGCATTCTTGCATATTTACTTTGACGCATATTCAAAAACGTATGCAAATAAACAAGTAAGTGCGAAAACAAAACAATGACAAATATTCTTTTGTAATATCTACGAAAAAGTTATGTGTTATATTTCCAATATTAAAATAAGCATTTACATCTACTAAAAGATTCATAAAATATTAACGCTTAACACAAGGAAGTTCGTGGAAGAACGTGGGGCAAAGGAGCCGTCTCTGCGAACTCAACTTATAACGAAACAACATAAACCTTGAAGTATGATATAAGATTAGTCGCGGCAGAGACTTGGGAGCGGTGGGCAATGATTTACGACATGTTAATGCAAATCTATAGGTATACAGAGCGAGCAAGGGTCAATGTTTACGTCACGTGTCTGCGGCGCGGCGCGGCGCTGCGGTCGCCCGGGGGCCCGCACGCTCTACAGCAAGGGTTTCCACCTCGAATCAAAAGTTCAAATGCTCCCAGTGCTCTCCATTGCAGAACCCGAGCCGAGATCGAGGGATTTTAAGTCAGTAAAAATCACAGACAGCCCCATCTTTCCCATAAAAGGGAGGGTATGAGGAGTCTTTTGAAGATTTCCCTCAATGCAAGAAAAAAATTATCACATACGGAATTATACGATTTTACATGACGCATTATCATATTACGTTAAACATAAATTTCTTTAAACTTATGTGAATGGTAGGAAAGTCATTAGATGACGTGGTTTTTATTTATCCAATGAGGTTCGAGGATGAGCACAGTGTTTTTGACAGATATTGTTTGTCTGTTTTATTGACAGTTGGCAGCCCTATCATCGCCGGCTTTCTTATTCAATTTAATTTCCCGGACCACACTCGCGTTATTATCGCGTCCATCACAGCGACCAGTTAATGACTGTAACACCATCAAAGTAAATACTTTCACGGTGTTAGAATTAACGAGTTGCATATTAACTCTCTTGAAATTTTTATTTGATGCCATTTCATATTCTACAATATGATGTCTATTATTTAGTAATACTGTACTCAGCTTTAATGACACAAATCTGAAGTGAAAATCAGAAACTTAAAATATTTTTAGACTCAGATTACTACAGCATCAATAACTAAGGCATCTAATAAAGTAATTAATTCTTGAAAGTTAAATTGTTTAAAATAAGATGTTCAGTTGTTTTTATCTGATTTATGAAAAAAGTCTTAACAGTGTCGATGATTTGCTTTGAAGGTAACCTTAATCTTATAAACGACTTCTTAATAACTTCGACTGATGTCGAATCAATTACAATTTATACAATACTATGGTTTTACTAAAACAAATAATATACAATTAAAAACTAAACTACAACGAGCTAAGTCCAGCATTCTCTTATCTTAAATCAAGATTGCTTTTTAATGATACAGTCATCCAAAATGATTGTATGTTAAATTGCTTTAATTAAGTACGGCCCGCTTTCAAATCATCGAATTTTATTTCTTAATTTTCTATTAATTGGATATTAACTTCTAACCTCTTGTTAAATCTCTCGGTTATATCAAACATATCAGAAAAACGAAGGTTAAATACATTTTATACGACCTTAATATTTAAATTTTATCTTGTTCAGATTTGTTATCGAGCACCATGATGTCAAATGCTAAACAAATATTAAAGGCTTTCAATTCCCTTAGCATTAATTCAACATTTGGAGGTTATTTCAAAGCGGATTAGGTAAATCAACTGGCTTTTAACTTAGTCATTGAGCATTATAATTTGACTCAAGGGTACAATAAGTATGTATCTTTAATCTTAAGTTTTGTAAGGTTAATACATTAATCATTAAATGTTTGAGTAATATGTGTCATCATCATCATCATCCACTTGCCCTTATCCCTTACGGAGGGTCGGCACAGTATGTGCTGCTCTTCCATACATCTCTATCAGCCGTCATATCTGAATCCACTCCTTTCGTAAGCATATCCTCTTTCACACAATCCATCCATACTTTCTTCGGTCTTCCTCTTCCTTTGTAGCCATCCACATTCAATCTTAACACTTTCTGGTTTATGTTTGAGTAATATGTGTATTGTCATTTAATCTCTTTCATACTATTATAATAAAGCGTGAACACACACTTCTTTGTTGCCTAATGTCAGCAATTACAGCATATTTTTAATAAATACCCCTACACTCACGTCCTGCTTTAGGCCATATATTTTCAGGCCATTAAACTTAGGGGGTAAATATTTTGGATAAAAACCCTAATGTGGGAAAGAAACAATAAGTTGCTGCCAACATCGAGAAAGAAAGATTGCTAAGGTTTGTCATGTCATGTCATTTTGTAATTTGCTATTGATAATTTGACAAATGTAAACAATAAAATATTTTTTTTTTAATTTTAGGTGGATGAAGCCGCACGGAAACAGCTAGTTATTTCAATACAACGTTAAGGGTGATATACAAATATTTTATCCTAAGATTGAACTTGCGGTCTATTTGTTGTAAAACCTTGGTTATAAATGACTATTTTGCTAATATGTAGTTAGTAGCTAATACTGCGTTAGTTAAAGATGTCTTACAACTTCGTATAAAATTGATAATAAAACTAAATTAAGCATATTGATAGTAAAATATCTCCATATAAAATAAATTGTTTACAACAAGTAAGGCGCAGTTTGTGCATACAGTGATGATTGTACTCACAGTGATGGTGTCATAGATGCCATTCTCGTCGTTACGAGAGGGTGGGGCCGCACTAGAGGCAGATGCGCCCGCGCCCGCCGCCGCGCGGCTCGGCGGAGGCGACAACGGGAGCGGGTTCCCGTTGCGAGACCATGATCGGTGTATTTGCCAGCTTGTATCCGAAAATCGTGCTTTGTCCTGCAATAAAATTAAACATTAACATCTTCAATAAAAAATCCTTTTAAACTATAGTAGTAGTAAGACAAAAGTCAAGATTTATAATTATTTTCAAATTAAAACTAGTTTCCTGAAAACTATTCTGAAAATTTTATTTATCGTAATAGAAACATTAACTACATTAAAGCGATATTTCGCATAAAAGTCACTTCCCCAAGCAAATACATTTCGTAAACTTGATCATAAATAGGTTAAAACTAAAACAATGTTTTTCAACATAGCAAAGTTAACGTGTAATTTTCTTTAGACAAGTAGAACACTTGACCATATCAAATTGAAATACTGCATTATTATGCGCAATTATGCGTACGTTCACTAATAACTGCTATCTACTGACAATACAAAGTGGTTAACAAAGCTTTCAAATCCGTGTTTTAATAGTAACCAACAATACGTATGTCCAACTCCACAGTTTAAGTTGATACACGCAATCCTATACGATTATCATAGCTAGAAATCTATCGCTAATGACTGACGCCGTAGATCAATAGTGCTTTATAATCGTCTCACGTTCGAAACCTTCGTTGGACATCTTTGTAATACAAACAGTACAGGAAATCGGGTATAGGTAATCTAAAACGGCGTCAGTCACGTCGCGGCTAGGTAACCTAATGGCACAATTGGTGGCACCCTCTGTTCAGCGTTACATCCGCAATATGCTTCTCGCACTTCGAATTATGTCCGCAAGCTATCTTATTAGGTGACCTACTTGGCTCGCCAGATGGCAGATACGTGCTCCAAGTAGCTTACTTAAGTCATTTGATCCTTATCTTGTTTACGACAGCGAAGTACTCCCGTTGTCTTCTTTGAAAGGTTTCATTGTGTTAAAAGTGCATTTACGGAACTGTGCACTCATTGGGAACAGAATACTATTATATTACTTATTATAATTGTTTTATTGTCAACAAAAACAAAACACTATTATATAAATTAATATAATAGTAGAGCATTGTTAATAAATAATATGTTCGTCACTTGATGACTGCGTGCAAATTGAATGTCTTAGAGCATGTAATGGTTTTTTAGCCATCATTCTGATACCAACAAAATGTAAAGTTCAGAGGCAGAAACTAATTTGTAAACCAAACTAGTCGTTAGATTTTAAAAGCATGTTGAGTTTAACAGCAATATATTTAATTTGAATGATGTTTGTTTCAAGAAATATTATTAAGTGATAGCACTATACATTTTGTGATGTAATTCTCAGTGAATTCTGACGTCAATCGTCGTCACCTCTGGGTGTTGCCAAATGACGTTACCTCTACACTATGCATTACATTCGTGAGCCAGATAGTCATCGATCCTCTTCTTATTAGCGTATAAATTTTGATTGTATAGCATAATTCGTGTCTTAACTCCATTTTAGCCGCTCCTATTTAATTACAATTAAGTAGAGTTCAAAATATAACTATTATCGAAAGCAATTAGCGATATTACGTCAAGAACACATTGCACTATAAATGAAGCAAGCTCGTCTTACAATGTCATCTCAATTATTCCGCCACATAGGGGCTACGTTCCATTCCATATCATTTTTTTCTTTTTCGCACGTACCACAGTCTCAGGGGATATCGGATATCTGCCTTTCAACTTAATCACATAAGGTGAATTTATTGAAGAGAGTTACATGTACGGGTTTCATGTGCTACAGTAATCAGGTGAGTGGATTATAATCAGGCAACACTAATTAAGAATATTCAAGCTTTTTCCTTACAAATTCCACCGATCTGTTTGCAATCATTTTTACACCAACTTACTGTTAACAGCTTCATCAGTTTAGTTTTATACATGTTGACAGAAGGTGCTGTTATTATCAAAAAAGAAACCAGTAGCGAATGCCGTAACAAAGAGCAGTAGAGAGAAAGTTTGTTTGTAAAAACATAATCGCGTTAGTTACATTATACAGCATTGTATGTGTAAATTATTACAAAATATCTTCTCTGTGGTACATAAAAATAGCGCAGAGGATTAACCGCCAGGTAGATGGTATAATAAACATCCCACGTGTAGTTGCATCGTAATCGGACGTGATTACATTGTCGATCAGCGCGTGGGCTGGGTATGCTCCAAACGTTCCGTTGCCACTTTCCACGTGCATTTCCTACATGAGTATGCTTAAAGATGACCTGACCTACTTACGCCATGTTATGTTTTGAATCAGGAACATGTAACGATTATTTGTACTGGATAATTTTAAAAAAGTGAGGTCTAAGATCTGCTCCACGCCAAATATGCAAGGTCAGTAAAGGGCGGACTAAAAACAGATGAGATACATGTTATAAATTACAAAGTCTTGTAGAATTTATTGATTGAATTCAGCATGTTATGTGATTGACGTTAAAAATCTGACAGCTGAAAACCAGCGCAAGGATAGTTCGGTTTTTTCTGCATTATCGGAGCTGATTTCATTTTCATTGTTTCGTTTTTTGTATGTAGTGTATGTACTTCTTTGTAACGATATATATCCGGTTAAAATATATAACAATCAAACATGGACATATTTAATAAAATTATAAGGATGTAAAAGTATGTTCAGGGGAATCATTAACATACATTATTTATTAAAAACTATTCGCTGTTTACATAATTAGTGTTGCTACCGTAACAAATACGTGTACATCTAAATATTTATTTGAACATTGTCTGTTGGAATGCGCTTATGTTTGTTTGGTGTCGCGGAGAAATCGTAAGTCTTGGTGAGAGCAGGAATTCTAATTACATACCTGTTACTGGCGTACGGGTAAACTTCACAATGTAAAGTAGCTTTACCCACCTCAATACATTTGATGAAGCTTAATGTAGCTTTGCCTATTCTTATTTATACATGCTTTCGCCCGCGACTCCGTCCGCGTGTAATTAAACAAAAGTTTGTAATTAAGTAGCCTGTGTTTTTCCAGAATATTGTCTAATTCTTTGCCAAATTTTAACGTGATCCGTTCAGCAGTTTAGGATACAAATTCTAACAAACATCCATCTAAACTTTCTCATTTATAATATTAGTAAGAAGTAGGATTATCACAGTACTTGTTCTTTTGATTAGCAATTCAAATTGACTAAACCTTTTTAATTATAGTTTTAGCTACTAAAGAAGACATTTTACGAGTAAATTTAAATTTAAAAATTTGAACAAAGTGGAATCTGAGCTAATGGTTTTGTTTGTTTTTAATTACATGTTGCTGATTCGCAAATTCACGATTTTTAGATTTCTATTCCGATTCTCATTCTGTATTTTAAAATGCTGTCGAAATTAGCAACTTCTAGTGATGAAAAAATTCCACAAGTAGCTTTAATGAAATTTTAAGGTTATGTTAACATTCAATGTTTACTTACATAAAATATTAGCAAAATTTTAATGGCAAACCGTTTAAATAGACTTTGAGTATGTAAATACGAAGCGCGTTATCGGTTAAAGCAGTAAATGATGTTATTTATGTAAATAAGGTGAATAGATCGCGAAACGTCAATACAAATAGGGGCCAAGGACAAAGGCCAGCGGTTAAAGACGATCCAAGCCAGCGATAGTCCCCGCTTGACTAGAAGATAGGTATCACTCTTCTACTTGTAAAACAAATTCCAATAGTGCCCTACTGACAGACTCAAAGTCAGATGATTACTAAGGCCCACTCTTAGTATAATACGTTGTATGAGTGATTTACACTAAATGCGACAATGTAACATAAACAAACTGAAATTCACAAAAAAAAAATATAAAAAAACTTAACATATGTCAGTATGAATGCATGTAATGTCTTGTGTATATGTCACAATACCGCACCCCGACTTGCATGTCCTTCATAACTTGCTATTCTTTACATTGGGCTAGACTAGACGAGGTCAAGTTTGCGGCTCTGCTACTGCGGTTAACTGCACTATGTCATAGTAATTGTTATATTTCTTAATGTTACAATAAATAAATCCAATTACCTAACTAAACCATAACATGAAAGTAATTTTCGATGTGCAATTTCGAATACACTTTGAAATTTAATAAAATATAACTAATTAATGTTTCATATTTCACATATATTGGTCTTAATTTTGTAGAGTTTTTGTAGTATTGTACAAAAATAATAATGATTGTTACTGCTAATAATGTTGGTAGTGATATTTAAGAGTCAGCGAAGCGGAAATTTTAATGAGCTTTGTCGAGGTCATACGCTATTACACTAAAATACAAATAAAAATAATAAAATCCAGATACACATTAGGTATTTCCAAGTTAAAATTGTAGGTGATACAGTTTGTATTAGAGACATGTAATTTTTACATAAAATACCTACAAGTTAATAATATTCTTCGAGTATTTAATAAGTTACTACTTGATAAATATTTTCCTATTGAAGTGTATGTTTGCTGCATTGTAGAGGCAGATGTTTAACAGTTTGCTATTCGAAGGTCAATGGGTCGCCAAGCGAGGCGATTACGTCAAATCCTCCAGTCTTACATGTCTGGATTCAAGGACAAATAAACCAACATGTAAAATTACATATAATGTAGGTTTTATCAGGATATCGGAGGAGAACGTCATCATTAGCGATGTATCTCTACTTATAAAGTTTACTTGTTTAAACCTTACTTTTCATTATATTGTAACCTAACCTCTTACAGCGAGAGTAGACCAAGATGAAAGTCTAGATACGCTTGTAAAGTCGGTTTAATTAAATACCTAAAATTCTTATAAAACATTTCGAAGAATATGATTTTATATCCTTTGCGAAGTTAATTTGCATGTGGCTAACGCGCAGAGGAGCGCGGCCTCCTGCACTGATAAGATAAGATAACCTTGCCTTACAATTTATTCTGCGCGATTACTGCGAGCCGAGAACAACACTAAATCGCTATAAAGCTCCTGTTAATATTACGACGGGATTCAAATTATGATCAAAACAAAAATAATTAGGATAGGGATAAAAGATAACTGTAGCGTTCCTCTTTGTAGGATTTCTAAATATCCAACATAGGTAAAATATATTAGTAATATATATTTAAATATTAAACAAATGATACATACTACCCGAGACGTAAGCTGTTAGCAAATTGTTTACTATGATAACGTAAGTATAAGAATGTTGAAAACAATTAGCTGAAAAAGCATATTTTTATGCATTATTCAAATATAAGTAGTGAGTACTTCGGATGTTGTGATAATGTATTTTGTTGACGAAAAGAACATGATGGTCGGAAGGATGCTTGCCTTTACAAAACGTCGGAGAATACTTGGTATAATAACAACAATGACCTTAATTGAATTCGTTGACTCGCTTCTTGTTTACTTTCATTATTTAGTGCATTTTGAAGATTAAGAGGTAATAAACAATTGCGATTGGAATACAAAAATATTTTAGTTTTGATCATTTTTTTTTAAACAAAAAACTTTTGTGAACAACTACGGACGTTAATACCTCTTGCTCAAAAGCGTCTTCCGTAGAATTTGAGGAGGTTCGTTTCTGTTTGTCTCCACTGAACGACAGTCTCCTCTTGAACAGCTTGATCATTTTCCTGAATAAATGTCACCTTTCGTCGTTACACGGACCGCACTCATTACAACTCACGACGCGGAACTGTATAAACTTTGATAAGAGACGCCGCGTCTCTGCATACTAACAAATTTCCTTTGATACTTCAAAGCAAATAGTTAATGAGAATTTGGCATCGATTAACTGAGATGTAACAGCGCTTACTGAGTTATCAAACAGTTACGCACGTGCGATGGCAAGGTAGAGTGGTGATTGCGATAGCGTCACGGTAGCGTATGGGCATACGGTTACCCAGAGTATAGCGGTGTGCGGTCGGATCGCGCGCCCGCCGCGCACTGCCCGCTGCCGCAGCGTGGCACGCCGCGTCGCGCTCGCGCCCGCGCCAGCGCCGCAGACCTCACCTTCACACCACGATCCATGACCACACGACGCCGCTCCCCGCGCTCGCCCTCTCCCGCGCCCCCTTATAGTATTGAACATCAATCAAAACCGTCACTTCCATTACATCCCTTTGTAAAATAACAGACCTCACACTGTATTACATCTTTTATATAATCCCCCACACTGACAAATTATTCGTAAACTGTAGAAATATCTTCTCTGATAAGTAGTTCAAATAAGTTATCGTGGAGCGTTGGAGAATTGGTGGCGATAAGCAATTAGAACCATTTCGACATCGCTACAATGAGCGTTTCATTAACACAGCCTAATGATCTCTAACTCTGCGTGACCCATCTAAACTGAATCAAGCACCGGATAACATGTACGCCTAATATTGAAGTTCCTGGAAGTGATACTCCAAATGCGACACTACCAATTAAAAAATCTTACGGCGGAATACTCATATGACATTTAAATATTTCACATCATGTTAAACGATAAAGTCCTGTGTAAGCTCCAAAATTTCGTTACTTCTATGGTTATAAGATTGTAAGCTTCGCTTACATAGTGAAGTGTTTTTGATTCGTTTCAGAATTCGGCTGTTACTGTTCTCAGATGACATAATTTAATTAAGGTGTTTTCATATGACCATTAATGCGGGCATTAATTATGTATTACTAGTAGAGCATTAGCAGTGAAGGGAGCACAACTTCCGTAGTCGCCATAAACATTGCTCTAAATCCGGACGCCATGAGACTACACGTTTGACAGATGTCAATTACATGTAATAGAATGCGGAGCGGGCAACACTAATATAACTAGATTCAACACACATGCTCGTTTATCAACACATTTATGTGCGAACGTGATCACAACATTTAATTTATAACACAAGCAACATAAAAATCAGCTGACCTGTGATTTGGTCATAACTTATAGGAATTTTTATCCACCAATTCAATTTTTCAATTAAGATCTAAAAAAACGGTACCTAAATTCGTAAGCTAAAATTATCACAAGAACTATAGGTCATTTATGGGACCTCTGCAATGCTTATACATTTTATTTGTACAAATGTGTTGTGACATTCACGAGACCTTCGCAATAAAGTATAATTGATGGAGAGTCTGAAAACGCGGGTTGAGTCAGCAATTTGTTTCAATAAGGGGTTGAGTTAACAGACCGAACGATAAATAATTAGACCATTTCAAGTCAGAGGATGCGAGGCCAAAAAACTTAAAAACAGTTAATTCCAAAATCTACATACATGGTCTGCTTGCTGCAACTGATTTCACAGTACTCGTAGTATGCAATGTTTTCTATTTTTTTTCCCAGAAGTTGGTCGAATTTATTTTTAGAATTGTAGTATTAATTGTACAATCTCTTTCCTCAAAAATTTAACGCCATGAGTTAAGATAAGAATCCTCTATTGTTCATATCTAAGTTCTTTTTACATGACATCATACTTTGGAACCATTTAATAGGTTATCTCGCTTTTAATTCTGTACTGCCATCATCTTATCACAATAGAGAACACGTAATTTTAATCTTTGTTAAATGTTTATATAATGAACAGGAAATAGGATTGAGTTTGGTATGTGGTGCTGTGTGGGGCGGCCAGCTCAATGTTAGTGTGAACCCAACACCGTTTGTGTTCCGCTTAGCACATACTAGAATCCTTGCGGCGAGTTTGCTTTCCCTAGAGCAAGTCAAACTCAGCCAGGATTTGGGGAATCTTAACAGTTTACACGCCACCTACGCGAAGTGAGTGTTGATTAAAGAACAAAAAAGAACCATTGGGTTTTCGTATTTATTTGTTATATTTCTTGTGGTTTATTGTTAAGGTTTCTATTTAATGTCAATCCTAAATTAAAATAATACCAATAAAGCACTATGAAACATTATTTAGTAAAAGAAATTGTTGGAATTATTAAGCCAATTTTAAATTTTTAATGGCTAAATACTCAACTTTACTATTGAAATAAAAGGCAAACAATAATCTATAGAATTATCTGTTAATCTATACGCTATAGATAAATCTATTTGTTAGTGTTATGACACACAGATAAGTAAGTACTATTAATAGTTTGATTGTTGTTGCGCTAAAAATTAATAACAAAATTAAACAATTCGTGTAGACTTTGACTAACCTACGAAGTAGTATTCGGTATATTATCGAGTAAGTAAAGTCGTTTTTGACTTTATTAGGAAAGCGTAAAGGATTTTTCGTGGGTACTTGTGCACTATATTGGAGTTCAGGACGCGGGTTTAAAATTAACACAAGAACGAGAAAATTAAAGCATGCAAAGCTTGCCGGTTACTGCGCTACAACTAGGGTTGCCATTTTAATAAATGTTGACCCCTGTTTTCGCGTAAAAAGAACTAACAGTGACTCCAAAATACAACACTTTATTTACATCATCTACCCAAAGAAATGAAATTAAACTTTTAGCCCGAATATGCACTAATCAAATTCAAAGGGGCAGCCCTAACTGTAACCTATGACCCGCTTTCCGTATCCGCCATTATCGTAAATGTAATGGTAATTTTCAGCCACCAATATCCTTTCTATCGGTAATATTTTGTATTTAGCACCCGACGAAACCGCTCATCCAAATATGAAAAGGTTAATGATGGAAAGCTATCGGTGGTGCCACTGAAAATTATTGAATTGTAAAAGTTTAATCTATCGTCTTTGAACCACTAAGATAACATACTATTATTTATATTACTAAGTACTAATATAAGTACCTCTCTGATAAAATGTACAAGACAATCATACTTACAATTTATTATTTTTAAAAGTAACAATATTTTGCAACGATATTGATATTACCCTCTTGACCTATTTGATAAATTATAATAATGTTGCGATTTTCCTCAACAAGAAATATTTGTATCCCGCTATTTTAATATTCTTTGATATGTGCCTATTTTATGTTCTTATTTTACACTTTACTTCTATTTTATTGAAATAGGGACACGTAAACTCTATTCCACCTTGCGTGAGTTTTCTGAATGTGTATGTAATTACAGACGCGAAGGAATGCTTACATTCATCTGAAGGTAAAAGATTATTTCTCTGCGGCTTTCAAATTGCACGGTATACAAATTACTTACAGTGTTAGGTAGCTTTGCTACCGGCTGTGTATTGGGGTTGGCTGACAGCTCAATAGCATCTGACACCTGAAACAAACATGCCTCGTGGTCTGTTATGTAGGTCGATATCTTTCCCTCAGATGACGGCGGGACAACTGAACTTCGTTTGGAATGATCTCGCAAAATTGGATCACACCTTTAGAAACACGGTTAATTGATTTTTTATAAAGGTAGATACTTAGGCATCGAACCATTTTTAGTTTTGTTTAAAAAACAGTGTAACATCACTTGATATACTTCAACAAAGCATTGAACTTGGTCATTCAGAAAGCTATCATTTGTCTTTTTTATGGAATTGTTTCTAGTCTTTAAAACTAGTAGTAGCACCAGAACTAGCAGTAGACTAGTAGTATATACTATTATATGACAAGCGTATGCCTTGATATAGAGTGCCAATTTAAGGACAATCTTCTGGCCACGCCGTAAACTCAAACGACCCAATCAGCAACATGTCGAGATGAATTTTGTGAAAGTAAATTGTTCATGTAATAAGCCTGTCTGCACCTAAGCATCGCCCCTACACAACTTTACGGCGAATTTTACGATGTTTTGCCACTTATCTTAGGTCGTATATAACTTTTAGGGTTACAGGGCAACTGGTGTTTCATATCATCGAAAGAAGTAAAATAAATGAATGAAAACATGAATAAAATCACTCATAATGAGTTTTTTTAATGGATCAGAGACCGCCAAAAGCGAAGTATGAGTTTACACAAACAGTTTAAAGATAATGTTTTATTGCCGTACAAAGATAATGATAAAAATAATTCTGTCACGTTAACTAGCACGTAACAAACTAAACGATGTAATAAATCTTTTTAGCGCAAAAAAGGTCTGTTCACACGGACAAAACAAATAAAACTGAATAACAATAGGACGTGATATTTCTAGTAAGTGTGAGAATTGTAGGATCAATCTCAATTCGTATGCCTTCCTTTTACTGAAACACGATTTGTACAGAACCGTAAGTCCATTTATTAAATCTGTCCAAAGCCGAATAAACAAAGGAAACGAACAAAGGTAAAGCATGTCTTGCAGTTGAGGGACAAACGAGAGACTGTGATGGATATCATGTTAATGTCTACCAATTATTACGCTGGACACAGACGGACAGTGTTAAATGAGCGTTTAGATTACTTTTTAAACAAATCACATAAAATTACATGACTTATTTTAATAAATGTAAACGTTGATCGTTGGTGACTTTTATCGACATAATAAGTTCATTGCCAGCCAGAAGTCGTATGGATTCGACATCGGTAATCTCACCTTAAGGAGATCCAAGACTAAAAATAATAACATTTACTTCTGCTTTTACCGCCACCAACAAAAATGATAAAGAACAGATCAATGCATGAATAACCCAAATAATTTAATAACTTTAGTAAATCTTCAAATTACAAATTTAGTAGTACAGACAATACAATGTTTTAGACGTTGTATTAGTTAGTATTTAACAAATCCTTTTCAGTCTAACTTATGCTTGTATTGTTATAAAGGAGGGCAGATAAAGCGCCATAAATTATCTTGTAATGGTCAAAGTTGCAAACTTCCTACCACTTCTAGCGGCTTTCATTAACTCACTACATTTACCGACTTGATTTTAAGATAATATTCTTTAAAGTAAAACACTTTTAAAATTACACTTGAAATCTCGATGCACGAACAAATCTTTATATATTTACTAACACTCGACTGCAATACAAAACTTTTTGCTATACAAATTAGGGTGCACAATCATGTTGCATAGCAAAAAGTTGTAACGTAATTATTACTATTTGTTTCTATGAGGTTATCTTATCATACGTTCAAGTTGCAGGTCATGTACAAACAGCAGGTAAAACATTTCTATACACTTCCCACTATTATACGATCTTGCTAGTTTATGTACTGTAATAATCTGTCTTATTACTGTAACTAGCCGTAGATAGTTAATGGCAGTCATTTTGCGAGACAACGGAACAATGTCTGTCCATTAAGATCATTAGTGTATGATACTCACAATTCCTGTCATTACCGTCTCAGTAACATGAAAGCTTACATCTCGGACTCCGTGTGATAATCAATTTCTAACAATCAGTCATGGTTCCACGGCAAGTTATTAAACTTTACACTCTTTTATTACTGAAGAAAGAAACTACATACCAAAAACTTCAATATCTTAGTATCTCCTTAATCGTCCAGTTTTAAAGATAATTTAAAAGGATTTAGCTACCAACTTCATTTGAATGACAAATATTTACAATCAACGTAGGATGTCGTAGAAATAAAATATTCAATCTTAGGGCCTGCCCCACCAAATTGTGAATTGTCTGATAACAATCCAACGTGTAAAATATGTAATGGAATCGGATTTTGTTTCCTTATCTGACATTGACGTCATTATTAAGCTATCTGAGCCTCTATCAGCTGGTGGTGGTACAGGCCCACATTGTAAACACAGCCCTAAAGACAATTATACATATTAACATAATTAAATGTTAAAATCTTGACCATTATCATTCGAATCGAAATTAATTAAAATAAGTAGGCATGTTATTAGTCTTGTTATGAAATATCGTTCTCGGAAGACGTGAACCGTTTTAATTTCGGCGAATTTGAGAAGGGAATTTCTGTGAATCGTGCCATATCACCGATAGCACTGCTACTGTAGGTTTTACCAATGGAATTTAAAAAATTACGAGTCACCACAAGAGAAATTAAAGCAAATATTATAAGACTTGTCGCTTGACTCTGAACTACATGTTTAGAAGTAACGTTGAATGGAAATACGGCTGAAAATTCATTAAAAAACGTACACTTCGGTGGTTATAAACAGTTGAATAAGGGACACTCTGGACACTAATTGACTTTTTATACCAGTGATATTAATGGTTAATTTATGACTATTTAATACAACCGTAACCGAGGGACATATAATGATATTAGTTTAATAAAATAAATCGTCCCTGCTAACCTTGTATGTTACGTGCTTACCGAGGAACACGAAATACCAAAATTCCAAGCATATAAAGACATCAGTGAGATGGTGTTACGTGCCGCAATGCTGTAGACATTCAGACCGGACCACTCCCTGGGCCGTCGAGAGAGTAATAACACCCAGTTTGTGTTTTTCGACCTTCCGTAGTCTCCTTAGAGTTATATAACGAAATAAATGTAGCAAGCAAGGACGGTCGATAAAGATAAAGTATAATAAAGTAATGCATATTTTTTTTATATTTTAGATTTAGAATTCAAAAACCAATTATGTTGGGATCCCTAGATCATCGGGGATTAAGGTATTTAATATAAGGAGAATAAAGGAGTTATCAGATATAATAATACCAAGAAACACGTTTAAGACAATAAAATTCTTATTCTTAAAACTTACAAGATAAACCGTGTTGGTAAGAAACATGAACTATACTTTCATTTCCTGCAAGATCGAAAGAAGATAAACTTATAAAGACATTGAAGTATTGATGGCCGGACATTTGCGTATATTTGCGATCAATCTTTAAAAATTGCAAGAGTAAAATATATTTCAAAACTCATGCAAAGATAAAGTTATCTGCAAATACTCATATATACTCTGTTCCGTTTACGTAACATGAACGTTTACGTAAATTATAATTACTTTAAACAGTTTTGGTTACACCAAAACAATTCAGATATAATGCTTGAGAAACTATCTTGTTCTCTAATATGTACAAATTGTTATAAACGTGCTATTAAAACTACATTAGATTTATAATATCCGTATCTCGTTATATAATAAAAGTTAAATTTTGTGCTGATAGAAATACAAAATAGTGCTTTGTAAAAACATAAAGCGCAAAACGAGGTTATCTTATTTAGACGTATTACGAGTTTAATAACTGTCACATTTTGTTTGTTTAAACCTAACAGATTTTTATAAAAATGTCAATAGCCACTGGCTTCCTATTCTATTTTTAATTAAATACTTAATTTTGACGTATTTACTAGGTATTGTGATACACTACTATATAGTTCCGGTTCTCGCACAGATTTTAAAATTAAGTATGATTTCCAGCGCCAAAGTCGCAATGCTGCGAACAAAGCCACATCGTGTCCGTTTCAGAAGCAAAGCGAATTTGCACATTTCACTTCCCCTTTAGTATGAATATAGTTACTTAAATATAGCGGACAAGAACATTTACAGTTAAAGTTTTTATTCAAAATGTCGAAATTGCGATTTCCGAAGTAAAAAGTTTGCAACTAAAAAAAAGATTAGCACACATCTAACTGTTGTCGCTTAGGTGATTGGGGACACTGATTGTTATTAGACCAGTTTTATAAATGTTCTAAAATCTAAATTCTTATTCCATGTGAAGCCACGTTAGTGATAAACTTATCTAAGATATTTAAAGTGAGTCATTATGCAATTAAAGTATGCATTATTTTAATTTCTAATTTCTTTATCTTAATACGTTTCAATTATTTTGTTGAAAGGGAACTAGGATACACGAGTACAGATTACGTAAGCCGAAATAAGTAACAAAACTGAATTATCCCCGACGGGTATCTACGCCGACCCATCTAAGAACACTAGTACGCTTTAATTAAACAGACGTTCGAGTTTAACCAGGCCTTTAAAACTGTACACTTAGAAATGCTTTTATAGAAAATGAAACTTAAAATTCAGTTGGTTTCAAATCCAGTACTTTTTATTTTCTTAATTAAACTCCTGATGATGTAGAGATCGCTCACAAGAGACATTTTTTTAAATGTATTTTATTACTACTATTATACTTATAACAAAGATGTTACTGCTATCCAGGGGAATTTTTTTGTTTATTATCAAGGTTTCAACAAAAATTAAAATTGTAAACCGAAGAAGCCAATCAAAATTACATTCTAATCTCCAGAGTGCAATAAGAATTTCATCGCTACGAATTATACCAATGCTCAAAGCTGTGAAATCGTAGATGTCTTGAAGTTTTACACTAGTTTACGGTGTTGCGGCCACATAAACATCGGAGTGAAATCTCACAACAAACACAATCAAGGAACTCCGCAGCAATCGT